CAAGTGTCATATTTGTGGTCTTAAATCTTTATTTCAATGTAAATTTGGCTTGGAACAAATTGCATTGGGACATCCTCTTTGATGATGTTTGTACAGTATGTACACATATCTGTTTTAGAAAGAACTCAAGAGCCATTTTAGACCAAATTAATTGTACGACAGAAGGGCATTAAAGTCTGTGTTGAAGTATATAAGTATTAAAGCATCTTCTGGCTCCGATCGGACAATAATCATTCTTGGGCAGGGCTCACTGCCCATTATCTATAATATAATATACAAATAATACACATGTTTTATAACATGATTTTACTAATGACCGGTAATTAGAGTTGGATAATGACTGGTCATTATCCAAATTACGCATTAGGCAAAATAAATGCCTCGTCACGTGTACGCTTCAAACCAATCATTTTATTACGTTCCACGTCATCATCTTATAATGTTAACTAACCAATGTTTTCATTCCTATGAAGAACATCTTAGCAGCCATGTTATATGAGGACTGCTCTTGGAACACATAACTTTAAGTTCATAAAAAACAGAATTTTCAATGGGACATATCTAAAGCACCTTGATTACTGGACTTAACACTTATGCACAATGTGTGCACCATCTCCAATCCCTGAGGAAAGTTTCAATAAAATCTCCACTCATGCAAGCACGCCTATGGCAAATTTGCACTCTTATCTTTCTGCGAACCTCACAGGCCCCCGTACTCTCCTGGGTAAAGCATGGCTAATGCTGATAAATGTCTTGGCACTGGACCTCCGTGCCGCACCTGGGTGGCAAACTCGGACAGGCTGATCCATAATCAAGCGACAAATCCGCTAGACCATATATCCTTCCGATAGAAATTCAACTGCTTGTACAGACAAATGGTCTATTCAGACTTCACACTTTTTTGAGGGGTGGGAGGACTTTGAGTGAAAGTTAAAAGATGAGGACTATACATATTTAACTACGTTTATAGTCTGGACACAATTCATCTATCTTACAGTGTATATCACATTTGCAACTTCTTGGGGGTCCTAATCTAAACAGGAACTTAGAGCTGTGAAAAGAGGGATGTCCTGGGGCGTAGTTTAATAGAAGAAGGTGAGGGGTACGTCTTCAGTGAAAAATGGGGACGCTTTCGTGCGTTCATATGACAAGGAAAATGAAAGAACGACTAGGAATAAATGAGCTCTGACAGATCCAGGATCCAGGAATTCAAACATTTGTTACCCGAAGGAAGTTCATGTGTTAATCTTCAATCTCAACATTGGGGAGTAGAATGGCTATTATTTACAAGATAATGGAGAGCAGACCAGAGCTGAAGATGGCCGGAAGAGGGAGGTTATTTTCGAAACATGTGTGCTGGACATCGTGCCTCATCAATTTCCTTCTCTTTCATTTTTGTTGAAGAGACCTTTAATCACAGGGTCATGGAAACTGTGACCGTTTCCAAGGAGGAAACAAATTCTGCTGATTTATAAAAAAATCATATCATATATCACTGTGAGCAATGATAGAATTCAACGTAACTGTACAACAACTTTACAAGTTGCTTCATAGTATAAATGTTTCTACATTTTATGATTGACAAGTGTTATCTGGATTGTTGCATCAAGATTTTGATCGGCAATATCTTAAAAAGTACCGGTAATCAGTCATCCTTAATGAAATTTATGGGTGATAATTGTAGGAGTATTTCTTACACTTTGTGTGAATATCACAAAGGTTTAGGCTAAAACTGTAAAGTTATGCTTGTCTTTGTAAGACGTAGCATTTGTAAATGTTACAAAGATAGCGCGTTGAATAATTGTTGCCTACACCTTATATAGATAGTCCAAACACTGCATTACAAGAAACAAGGGTTGATCCGTGGGCAAGTCCAAGGTAATTTAGTGTTTATGTAACAAATAAATGTTGACGTTATCTTTTTTATAGTTATATGGGTCTGATCCCAGCTATTAATGCAGAGCTATCAATTTCTATCAAGGGTCAGCTACGTATCGGACAAAATAGCTTTGTCTTGACCATATGTGACTACTACAGTGTAAATATGATGTCTTAGTGCTTCATAATAATAATAGTGTTGTTTTTCACTCATGTCGGTCAGAATTGACACTTCTGGCGCTCCACGATTCATCCTCCTATTAAAGTCAGTACAAGAAGAATTGTCAGTTACCCCTTTGGTGAAAACAAGTGGAAATTTGCGTGCTTACAAGCTGATGTGGTTATTGGTGATAAGGCAAGTGTCAAAATGTATTAGGGACTTGAAGTGAGCCTCTGCTGGCCTGGCTAGTTGTCCTCCCCCTCTGCATAGCCGAGAGACCGGTGGAAAGTGCACCGATGGGTCCCAGAGAGGGGGGAAGCTGTCACTATCCTCAATTTCATCGCCCCCGTCGGTTGCCCCCACCCTTGACTTTTGCCGGAGATGTTGTTCAGGAGTTTAGCTAGTTTACGCATGCAGACTTATTTGGAAATCGGTCATCTAATCAAAAACAGAGACAACTGAAAAGAAATATTGATTTCTAGCATACTGAAAGTGTATTACTTGCTATAGAAATACCAACGTAAATCCCAAACTGAACCTATAATGTCACTAAAGATTCAATCAGTGATATTTTATTCATGGGTAAATTGTTTTCGGATGAACCTAAAACTGTAAAAGCTCCTGCTAACTTCATAACAAGCAGCACAAAAAACAGATCTTTGAGAAAATAAGAAAGTAAGGTTGTGAATAAAGAAGTTAGGGACTGTATAATGTCAAAATTTAAAAACAAAACAAAAACAACAAAGTCTTCTTCATGGCAGTAAGAAAATCCTAGTTTGGTTTCTAAAACTACTACAAGGGTGTGGGTTACTGGAAGGAGGGTTGTTTACCCAGTTTGGCAATGGAGGAGGGGGCTGTCATCATAAATATCTCTAAACTTTGTTTCAATCTTTGCTCAAACTTTTATCTCTTTCAAGGGATTGTCAGGAAAATCTAACCATGCAACCTGTCATTTTTGGCAACTCTAGGTGCTAAATTGTTATTTCATCAGATTCAGATCTTCTAAGAGACATTTACTATATGATCATCACAGAAATTATTGGATGCAAAATGAATCAAATGTTCAACAAAGGATATTTATTCCAAATGTTGGGTGGTCTTTCATTCATACCACTTTTAGCAAGATATTCAAGAATATGTCACAGGAGTTGAAACAAATGTCTACAAGAGTTACTAGGCTACATGAGTGGCCTACAAGTACAGAACTAGCTAGCCTATAAAAGAGGCTCACTTAAACATAACAGAAAGAGATATATCAATGAACCTTTCTAATCAAGTCACCAACAAGCCAATTTTCTGCTATTTTACACTAAAATCAATTATCGTCCGTCATTAGCCTATAAAACTAATCGGCACAAATATGTATTTGCTGACTAGCCAACATTTCCTAGATAAGGTTGCTGTACATCTGTAGGCTGGTCAGTATATACCGATTACATCCAGCTTTACATACACTTCGGCTCCATTATGAGTTATCCCACATCGTATCAAAACTTGGAAGCAAATTTCTCCTCCTCTTACTTCACCTAAACCTTTAATTATTCTATTAAACTCAAACATATGCAGTCTTGTAATCTAATCGCAAAGTATTTTTCCAAAGTGTTCTAATGCAATTACCTCCAATTAGATTACGCTGGACATCTAACCTTGAACATCTCAGAATGAATAACATAAACCAGGCGCCTTAATAAATGTTGACACTGGATGATCATTTCCTATTTGAGAAATGACCAACACACACATAGGCGCAACATCTGCACCCACTTATGGTGTTTAGCGACAAAAGCCAGGCCAGAAATCAGCCAAAGGTTGAGAAGAAGGAAAACAATTTGTTTACCGGATGAACAAGTCTTTGGAGTTTGAAGTTTATCAAAGAAAAATAGGGGGTATTGGGTTACACTGTGTGGAGCCAACATGAATCAGATTCTCGATAAGGCGGGTGATGAGTGAAAGGGGAAAAAAATGACTGTCATTCAAACATCAAGTTAGTTCGTTGCTCATCCAGGGTTCTACAGCCTGGCTGATGGCAGATCTGATTTTCAAGAGCATCTACGTGACTGACACACATGCAGATTGTGTCCTCAAAGAACCTTTTGCCCCCATTAACACGATGATGATGATACTGACACAGAAGGCTACAACATGCTTCACAGAGCAACGTAAGACTTTTTTCTTCTTCTTCTGTAAGTTGTTGGATATGAGTACATTTACTTTTGTATTATAATGAGCAGGTTAAACAAATCATGAAAGTGGTACCCAGGGGCCAGTTTCTCGAAACCATCTTAAGTCTAGATAACAGTTCTTGGAACGCTTGCTATAGAATTAGCGAACATTCAAGTGGGATGTCCACAAACTTTAATAGACCTATGCTGGTTTCAGGAAGAATCAGGATGGCCCTAGAAGTTTTTAGGTCATAGGTCAATTTGTTTCATTCTAATGGTTGCTATTTAAAAGTATTTTTGACAATAAGCAAGATCAATTCAATTCAACAGGGATGCCGGTAAGAATTAATCAGATGTCCTGAAAATCACCTAAAATTAGCTATTTTGTACACAAAAAAAGCCTAAACTATGGCCTGAAGATAAATTGCCAGGGCCTGAATTCAAGCTTTTGCCTGAAAACTGGCATCCCTGATTCAAATTTTCGGGAGTGTCTCAATTATAAAACCTTGGATAAGGTACTGCCTAGCATACTGCCAAGGTATTGCTTGATCTTAATATTTACTATGATAGAAGGCAGGCTTGTTAGTTGTTATATACCTGGGCCCTGTTGCATAAAACTTAGCATTGACAGTAACTTTGCCATCAATGGTACATGTAACCTGCATGGAAACCTTGATTTGATTGGATGTTGAGTGGTGTTGCCATGGTAGTTGATTTGATATTGATGGCAAAGTTACAATCAATGGTAAATGTTGTGCAACAGGACCCAGGCCTACATTGTTTTAAATAAATGAGCTTACCTCCCGAGAGGGGTATGTTGATTGGTGTTGTCAAGGCGATCGTTGAAGCATTTGATGGTGAAGATACACTGAGAGAATTCTGTGATATTCAGAGAAAAAAAGAGAAGAATTGTCATGAAATGAAAATGAAGATGATACTTCTAAAAAAAAAATGCCAGATCCTAAATCAATTATTTTCAGTTCACTTATGACTTAGTGTTAAATATATTTGGTGCTTTTGGTATGAAATGTGAGCGGGGTTTTTATTGGCTGTTGATCTGAGTGGTATATACATGTATATCCTAAATATGCACATAATAGTAAATTCATATTGCACAATTTCTATACAGATATACTCAAATGTGCAATACAATGTAACAAAAAGCAAAAAAAAAAAATATTATACAAACTTTCCATGACAAATACATTTTATGCCTATGGAAATGTACACAGAGATATGGAGGAATTGTTGCATAAGAACTCTTATTAAAGTGCAGTGAACAACTGGAAAATTTATTCACTCTTCCTGTTTACATAGCAGTCTTCCCTATTAATGACATAAGAATCAACCACTCTCTTGTATTGTGCAATACATCCCATTTGAAAGACGTAGTGTACAGATTCCTCGAAACATCTTCAAACATGGATGCAGCAGAGGTTGCAATTCTTGACCACTTGTCAATGCAACACACCGATATCAATCAATTACTTCCACAATTTCATCCCTATCATGGGTTCATAAACGGGGGTGATTTAATTAAAGGAAATCATGACTTAACAGGGATTTCTTGCTTGACCACACGGTTAATGGCAGATCTTGGCTTGGACTCGTTGGATTAAATTGTTATTAAAAGCTTTCATTTGGTCAGGAGGGAAATGGTCATAGGTTCATTACTTGTTATCTTCTTATGCTCTGGTGACCATTGTTCCATTTTTGTTTTTTGTTATTTGTTTGTTTGTTTTTTGTTACTGCTTTGATGTTTTAATGTAAACATTTATTTATTTTTAAAGATTTTTTCCCATCTGCTGTGTTTTTCTTTATGTTTCGGAATGCTTTTTTATATCATTGTATGTATGATGTAAACTCACATTTTTAGTCTTATAAAACCTAATTTGAATTGAATTGAATTTACTCTGTCCTAGGTATACGGCTAGGGTTACGGTTGTAATTGGTTTTGACGTTACAGATTTACAACTTTCAATAGTGATATTTTTTACCAAAATGATAATTTATCAGATTTATAAAATCTAATTCCATGCTCTGCAAGGTTAAATCAATTCTAAAAATGAAATACTTTTGTGACTATTAGTCTATAATGACCGGAATTCTTGTCTCCCTTGGAATGGCATTTCTCATTGAAAAAAGCCTTTGGGGAAACCTGTATATAAAGACCACCTGCCTATTAAGATTACGCTGTGTCTCCATTGAGAGGTATACAAGTTAGACTGTACATTAAATTTCCAATTTCTTCTTTTTTCTTCTAAACAATGGCGAGAAACAGCAGTAATAGACATGTTCCTCTCCTAAGAGAATTTCATCTGTCATCACACATGGACGTATGGTTATCTTTATTTTCAGACAAATGATTGTTGGCAGTGTTTCCCTTTCACAAAGCAGCCACTAATCCTTGCAAACCAATGAATGCCCTGAAACTATTCCTGAAAATGTTCCTCTATCCCTAACAAATCTCACATTTGACTTATACATCGTTCGTTGGCTTGTAAGCATGTATTCTTCAGGGCTTATTATGAACAGTGATATTTTATTGGTACAGCTTGATGTATTTCCTTTACAGAATTCAGCTGCTTGATGTGTTTTCCTATTCAATTTTTTTCTTCACTGGAGATAATCAGGTCTTTAAAGCCCCACTGCACTACTTGTAGCTACGTGCGCCCTCTATATAGCAAACAATGCCTAATCAGTGCCTGTTGGTCCCCCATGATCCCCCTTTTCTTATGTTAATTGAGAGCTGATTGGATGAGATAACCACCTGCCAGTGACCTTGCAGGGAGATCCAATCCCCCTGGCCAAACTAGTACAGACAGGCTTTAAGGGACTGGTTTCATCCAATGTAATTTTCTCATAACAAGGGAGCAATGGACTGGAATTTTACGAGTCAACTCAAATAACATTGTGAATACTATGTCTGAACAATAAACTATAAAAATAAAATTTCATGTGATTTCACTCAACTCCTTTCTTTACTCAATGTCCATTTACATTCAAGAGCTTCCTTCTGTTCAATTTCTCTTGTACATGTATCTTTTCAATTCAATAACCTTTGCAGAGCTTCTGACTTGATAATCGATGGTTTGAGCACAATATAAATGTCGAACAATTCCTATGCTTTATGTAATGTGACATTTAGCATTTAGCAACAACAGGAGAAGTGCTAGGGGCCTTTCCCTACGTGTTAGCTCAAATCTTCACGTTTTGGCCACTTCCCGACATCTTTCCCACCAATTTTGTTCCAACGCTTCCAAACTCTCATCAGTTTTGTTCTGGAAAGAATTCATGCTGATAAGGAGTCATATCTTATCCTGTTGCTCGGAGAGTTGTGTGGTTTGTGTCTATTTTAAGGATCATTATCTACCGTTATCATGTTTTTTGTACATCTCACCGCTGAATCTTGATGACATCATCATGAGACTGACACAATCGGCCATGCAAGCCATCTCTACTTTCTGACCCACAGGGCTTTCTGTTTGTCAACTTCGAAACAGATTTCTTTCTTGTGACCACGATTTTAGAAAGTACTATATTTGGATAAAGATAACCATCTTAGAAATAAACTAAATACTCTTGAATATCACATTTGTATGCAAACATGAAGCAGTAACAACAATATGACTCAAGATTAGTCTCTACTATCCTTGCCATCTTTACATTAACTTGTGGACTACTATACTTCTTTCATTCCCATAGATTTAATGAAGGAACAACCTGGTTCTCAGAGGCAATAGGTTAAAACTCTGAATTTTGTAGCTTTGTTTATCTTTGTCTGTTACTAAGGGTAAGCTAATACCGTGTGTCTCAAAAAAAACGTAACACTTTTGAAATGGTTGCCAAATTGAGCATATATAATTTTATGAAAAAATGTTGATATGTATGGAAAGCTAAAGGACCAACCTTTCATATGATATGAAAAAATTAAAAAAAAAATCATGCTTCGATGGACAGTGTTCACTTAAGTTAGAGGTATGAAAATGGGCCTGCGCAGGATTTTTCCTTCCAATTTTGGACAGGTAAATTACTTGTAACTTACAAAATAAGGTCGATATGAGATATTCATGATCGATGGATCAAAAGGATATTTTGAATCAAAAGGATATTTTGAATACCTCGAATACCATTCCTTTTTCAGTGTTATTTATCAATCCCGAAACACCACCGCCCACCCCCCCCCCCCCCCACACACACACACACACACACACACTTCCACCCACTCCCATCTCATTGTATCATTGATCTGGTAGATGTGAACGGGATTAAGGAAGAATGGGAAAATGTTAAATTGAAATACCGTATTCAAAATCATAATTGACATTATGCAACCCACTCTCCTCCCCCCCACAACCTTTTCCCATCCCATCACCTACCCCTTGCCTTTTCTTTATCAGTTTTCTTCCGTAAGTTTGGTGGATCATCAATCACATTTTATTCAGGTTTTATGAATGACCCAAACATGTAATAGCTAAGTACATCATTCATTATGCATTGAAAATACCAGACCCCTTCTCTTTCCCCACATTTGAACTTGTTATCACCTGTCCATGGAATACCGTATGACATTGCATTGTTATCCTTCATTGGCCTGAACACTGAGTAGCCAGAAACTGTTACATAATCCTCTTTATCCAAAATCACTGTTTAATACTAAAACAAAGAGGCAAAAACATGGTATTACACATTACAGGTTTAAGAGTAAAAATAACTGCATTAAGTTGTTACATAGCCTTCAAACAGTCCATCTTATGCCATGTTGTCAGTATGGAACGACCCCAATTCACAAATCAGCAGCGTGCTTTCATGGTAACTGAGTATCATCGAACTAACAATGTTACAGCAGTCTGTCAGAGGTTCAGACAAGTCTACCCGGATGTACGCTGCCCTTCGCGTCTTACCGTGTACCGCAATGTCGCCAAGTACGAGGGAACGGGGACGAGCCATAATCTGAACCGAGGAAGATCAGGACGCCTCAGGACTGGACGATCGGCAGAGAATATTGAAGTGGTTCGTCAAGCCATTCAGGATCATCAGGATGGAGACATCAGCTGTCGGCGAAACCCTACAGATCTACCCCACGCCACCTTCAACAGGATCACGCTACTTGATCTTCACTACCACCCTTACCAGATGATCAAGAGACACGAGCTTCTCCCAGGAGATCGTCAGCGTCGCACAAGATTTTGTGAGTGGCTACTCCGAAGGCCGGCGCGATTCTTAGATGACTTGTTGATAGGGGACGAGTCCGGTTTCGCTCTCAATGCCCAGGTCAACACGCACAATCTTGTGGCATACCGGGATAAAGGGCATCCTCCAGAAGAGTTCGACTACCAAAGGAAGTACAACCGGTCCAAGGTGACGGTGTGGGCCGGTCTCACTGGCAGAGGGGACATCATTGGGCCCATCTTCTTTGACAACAATGTCAACGGTGAAGCCTATCTCCAGATGATAGATGGACATGTTGTCCCTGCCCTCGATAGAGTTGCAAGGTATCGCCGTGGCAGGAATGGACGGTTTCAACGCGTATGGTGGGCGCAAGATGGGGCACCTTGCCATCGCTCCAGGGATGTCACAGAGCGCCTCACCCAGCTCTTCGGTGATCGAGTGATATCCCTCAACCGCGAAGTTGAATGGCCTCCACGTTCACCTGACATGACGCCTCTCGACTTCTTCTTGTGGGGATGGCTCAAGGCCAAGGTCTACACCACACCTCCCGACACGCTGGATGATATCAAGGAGAGAATCACCCATGAGATTGATGTCCTTCGTCAAGACAGAGCCACAGTCAGGAGAGCTGTTCTGGACATGCTGAAACGGGCAAGATCGTGTATCGAGAGAGAAGGTGGACACGTCGATCATTAATGTGAAAGACTTTTATCTTTACCGGTACCCTTACTCAGTCGGTACTTTGAAAGCCTTGATATTCAATCAAGAAGAAAAGATAGCCATGTGGACTACTGAACTGATTACTTTTGTCAGATCTTTCATTTTAAGATGAACAAAGCAGTTTTAAATAAGAAAGAAATAAAAGAAACATGAAAATCTTTTAAAAAAAGATTTAACTTGTTTTTTGTCATGTCTGCCCTAATGTGTGTGTGTGTGTGTGTGCACGTGTGTGTATGTGTGTGCGCGTATATGTGTGTGTGTGTACGTGCGTGTGTGTGTGGTTTGTGTGCGTGTGATAATTGGTTTGAGCAATTGCTTGATGGAATTAATGTTTCAGTGATTTATCGATTGATTTCAATGATCAAAATGAGTGACTGGTTAATTTGATTATTAATGGAAAAAATGATCCACCAAACTTTCGGAAGAAAACTGATAAAAAAGCAAGGAGTAGGTGAGAGGATGGGAAGAAGGTTGTGTGTGTGTGTGTGTGTGTGTGTGTGTGTGTGTGTGTGTGGGAGGGGGAGGACAGTGGGTTGCGTAATGTCAATTATGATTTGGAATATTTCAATTTAGCCAATTCCCATTCTTCCTTAATCCCGTTCACATCTACCAGATCAATGATACAATGAGATGGGAGTGGGTGGAAGTGTGTGTGTGTGTGTGTGTGTGTGTGGGGGGGGGTGGGCGGTGGTGTTTCGGGATTGATAAATAACACTGAAAAAGGAATGGTATTCGAGGTATTCAAAATATCCTTTTGATTCAAAATATCCTTTTGATCCATCGATCATGAATATCTCATATCGACCTTATTTTGTAAGTTACAAGTAATTTACCTGTCCAAAATTGGAAGGAAAAATCCTGCGCAGGCCCATTTTCATACCTCTAACTTAAGTGAACACTGTCCATCGAAGCATGATTTTTTTTTTAATTTTTTCATATCATATGAAAGGTTGGTCCTTTAGCTTTCCATACATATAGACATTTTTTCATAAAATTATATATGCTCAATTTGGCAACCATTTCAAAAGTGTTACGTTTTTTTTGAGACACACGGTAGTTCTGTTTGGACTATAGACCTTGGCTCAAGTGAAACTAGATCTTGAAGAGTCAGTTACTAAGGTCTCCTGAAATTCAATCTGGAAATTTGAACCGAAGCAAGCAGATATGGTCATTGTGAGCGCAGACAGGGGTTGTAGGGGGACTGCTATCCTACGTCGACGTTAACCACTTGACTGCTAAGACTGGTAGCAATTAGATTCCAAGCCTTAGGAATAAATAAGTTTCATGAAAGTAGATTTATCTTAAATATTGCTAGGAATAACTGTTCGCATATGGATCAATCAATACAATATCCGGTCCTTATAGGAGTGGCTGATGTAGAGTAATTATAGAACTCAAGGAAACCTTAACAAATGACCAAAAGGTGAGCAACTTGGCTCACAAACACAGTTCTAGCCTTTACTGTTATCGAGGGCAGTGTCCCTTCGTAGTGTCTGCCCCTTTAAGCCAAAAGCAATAGTGCTGAACAATGAGGACAGTATATCTGTTCAACAACACCACCAAACTAGTTTCTTTAAACTAATACACCTGTTATCGTGGCTTCATCTCTGTAATGGCCAATGGCCACTTCAACTGTTTCACGGAGGTAGCCTCTGTACACAGTCGCAGGGTTCACTGACCTGTTCTTTCGGGGAGGAACTCCGGGAGCTGTTAACGCTGAGGCCTCGAACCTCCTCTTCTAGTTCGTTCCCAGAATCCACGGACGAGGTCGCCATCTTGAAAGACGTGTAGGCACTGCATGGAAGATAAAGAACAGAGACACGATTGGTTGATTTTGATTTCAAACGGCTCACGTAACGAGACACAGATAGTTTTACTCTGAATGAGTTCTGGAATGTCTTCATTTGTTTTGGGGTATATATTTGTTTTATGAAAAGGTCATCTGGGCAATAACTACACAGTACACACCCACACACAATGACAGACAAACAGATTGAACATGCACACACACACACCCTCACCCACACAATTCAATAACTGAAAAAATATGATAGTAAATTATGGAGCGCCGAGAGTGTCAAAGCTGACAGACATGAGCACTATATCAATTGATACAAATGTCTAACAGTATCGATTTTTGTTCCATACAATGTTAACGTAATGCACTAATCCGCAGAAGATGTGGACTTGTTAGTAAAAAGTTTTAAAAGAATAGGAAAAGAGGAAAATGAAAAAAGAAATGCACATGAAAAAAATACCCCCTAAACAATCACAACACCATTGGAATGCGATTTTACAAATTTCACAAGTACACAACCTCCCAAGATTTTTCAAAACTTACAATGAATAGGAAACGTTGCCCTTAGCTTCAATATCATTTTGACAATAGGGCATAATACAATTCTAAGAGATGAACAAATAGTTTGGAAAGGTTATCTTAAATAAGACGGTTGGAGCAGAAGACAAGGGGAGGGGGAGAGACATTATCTCCTGTTTATGACAAAGGGCTGGGGAGTATGAAGGATTGTGGAACACAGGACAATATGTGTAACAAGGTCGAACCTATGCAAAGGTACATCACAAGCAGGGAACGGAAAGAAGAGAAAGAAGCAGAGGAAATCAAACAAGGACGCACACCTTTGACATCCTCCAAGGGATGTTTCCAGGAAACATGGCATGCGTAAGAATGTTACGAGCAGGGAACAGAATAAAAGAAGAGAATACAAGAAGAGAAAGAAGCAGAGGAAATCAAACAAGGACGCAGCCACAACATTGCGAGACACCTTTGGCATCCTCCAAGGGATGTTTCATGAACAGAAGGAATTATGCGTAAGAATGTTGATTGACTGTGACGAGGAGGTGTGAAATTCATTATAACAGACAGGAAAAGTAAGGTGAGAGAAAATAGGACTGGGATTTGGGAATAATGATTGATCAGATTGAATAATAATCTCTTGTGATTTCAAATGTGTTCAAGGTGGGATGCAAGGCTATATCATGGGGGAGATAGAGATCATCAACAGGTGAACGTTCCATTGGCAGGGTGCTTAATAGAGTAGTACAGGTATAGTCTTTAGAGACTGAAGACAAGACAAGGATGGTACAAGGACAGGGTGGGAGGAAAGGCTGTGTCTAGACGCTATCTTTACAGCCTATCTGCACTAGTTTGGCCAGGGGGATTAGACCTCCCTGCAAGGTTACTAAATCAGCTCTCAATTTAACATAAGAAAAAGGGAATCATGGGGGACCAACAGGCACCGCTTGTTTTCTATATACAGGGCACAAGAAGCTTTAAGTGGTGCAGTGGGGCTTTAAAAGAACAAATAGAGTATTGCAACATTGAAAACATCTGTAATCTATTCACAGTGGGAAATTTATAATTGAAATTGAAAATCTTTAAATTGATCATTCTGAGTCATAGTTGTAGTCATTGTGTCTAAGGACACCTTGGATGCTCATTCTGACACCTTTGCTAGCCATTAAGTATCCTAATATGGGTATAGTGTAGAAATATGTAGTTTACATATACATCCATGTATCTCATATATCTTTACATTGGAATGAAACTGATTGAATAATATATGAAAATTTAATTATATACAAGTGGTTCATATAACCACAGATGGCTACATAATTATATATCCTAGACTATCAATATAGAAGAGCCTCATCAAATATACAAAGAACCATATTAAAGATATCTTGGTAATAAAGGATGTACATTACTTAATTTAGACATTTCTATTGACTGAAAAAATATTCACAAAAGATTTCAAATTATATTCCTTTTATGACGTTCCTTTGATCTGCACAAAGGATTTATCACCAGCAGACAATCTGGTGATTTCAGAGCCAACATGCTCTTAATTCAGACATTAATCGCAAAATACAAAAGCCATTGAAAGTCCCCAGTGGCCCAGGTACGCTGACTGATGCAATTTAGTCCAAGAAATATCACGAGGAAAGTTCTGTGAGTGAGTGAGGGTTCGCTGATAGATCTCACGTCTACGGGCTTGAACCCGGGGGACATTCGGCAGGAGGAGATGTAAAGTTGTGAGGAGTTGGTGTTAAATGTACAATAATGATGTCTTTGGAACGTTGGGTCATTCCTGGTTTCGCCTCGTCTTGGGAAAGGTCAGAAGGAAGATGGAGTATTTTAAGAGGATCGACGGGATGAGAGACGAAGTGAGAGATGACGATGAGAGATGAGCAAATATAAAGTCAGATCATGAAATGTCCTAAAGTGCATTAGATCTCTCAAAATATACTTCTCTCCTTATATCAATCTTAGATAACTCAAAATATACTTCTCTCCTGATATCTTAGATTGTTCAGGACTCTCTCTAGGCAACAACAAATCAAAACAGCCAAATGTCTGAACAATAAAATAAAGGGACTCAAACATCTCTCTCTCTAAGTGCCATATCGATTGACTTTGGCGATGATGCTGTTCCACAACCCTCGGTTCCACAACCCTCGGTTCCTAGCCTTCTGTATTAGTACCACTCCCAGTTCTTTCACTCCTCTCTCTTCCAACAATTTCTGCAGACTGTCCATCCAAAGTATCCTCCTTCTTCCCCTACTCCTTCTTCCCACAATTTTCCCTGTCAAAGCAAGATTCTCTAGGCCTTCTTTACGTGTAATGTGACCCATGAACTTCAACTGCCTAATCAACATCTCACGTATCATTTTCCTTTGCACTCCAGCTCGTGTAAGAACTTCCTCATTACTAACTTTGTCAGTCCAGGGGATTTTCATCATTCTTCTTAAGAACCACATTTCGCAACTTTCCAAACGCTTGTTAGTATCAGAGGCTAAAGTCCATGTTTCACTACCATACATAAGTACTGGGTATATGTAACAATTCAATTCTCAACATAGGAGAATAATAAAATAAGGACTTTTAGTTTCAATTAAGTCCTTGAATACTGCAAGCATCTAAATCATTATATTAGAGCACCTTGAGCACCTTTCATTGTGTAACTGAGTGCTATAAATAAGTATAATGGTAATTTATCATCTTTATTTGTTATCATTAGTATCATTGTCATTTTTCTTATATTGATTACAAATGATAGTATTTTTATGGTAAAAATGTTGCTTGATAGGCAGGTGGGCAAGGGGTCCTTCCTACCGTGCCCGACGGGATATTCACTCTCAAAGCTGAATTTGTAAACACCACAAGATTTCATCACTATCTGACTTGAAAAGCTGAATAAAAACAAAAAAGTCTGATAGACAGATAGCAGGACAATGTCTTCCAAAAGAAAAATGGCATCTTCAGATTTCTTCGTCAGCAGAACTGATGACATGTCAAGTCTTTGGCATGCTCCTTGAAAACACAGAAAATTGCAAGGTCAAATCGATTAGGAGACAGGTAAAAATCTTTCTTCCAAGATAGTTTGAACTTTTTAGACTCTAATTGAGACTTCCACAAAAATACTGCAGATCCATAGACATGTACTATCAATCAGCAGGACACCTAAATTGGACGCATTTATAAAATAGGACCTTTTGGTTCAATTTTGAGACCTATTTTTCTCTTTGTTCTTCTTGTTTTCGTTAAAAATGCTTCATGACATCACAACTTTCCAAAAAGGAATCTCACTCTTTTCATAAGGGTATTCATAGAAAATTTGATATAGCTGAAAAATTGGTTCTTGGCTTTAATATCATCCATCTTTTCAGATTTATTGTTATTAATTTGTTTTAATAGAATTTAAATTCAATAATCAACAATGAATAAAATATGGTAACTAAGACTGGTGTCTCCTTTGCATTTTGTTAAAAAGCATTTCAAGAACATCATTTCTTAGAATATTGCAATAATTATCCACAAAGAGAGATGGTTCTCCCCCTCCCTTTTCACCCCCAAATGATCTTTTAAATTATGATTAATAATTTTAGAACGTCCAAATAATTTGTCTTTAAAAAATTGCTTTTACAAATCTGTACTATGAAGAAAAAATGTCCTACCAAAGGGGAAGATGATCTGGAGGGCTGCTTCTATTAAAGTAGATCAAGGGGCAAATAGCCCTGATCTATTGGATATTTTCATATCTATACAATCTATCTATTTCTTTATTTACCCGGTATCTCCTTTCTCTATCTCTCTTTGCATCCCTCCCTTCTCTAAGCATATCGCTCACGACGAGTCTCATCCCTTCTTCTGTCTTGTCTAAATCGATCTCAATTGCTCTATCCATCCTACTTCACTAATGAATCCCTCCTCATCAGATAGACGAAAGTATGTCTCCGAAGCAACAAACACGCGTCTGTCAGCAACCTAATGAGCATTTGTCAGGATTCAAATCCCGCGAATGTCTGTCCTGAGGGGGTGTACTGCACGCCTGACTGCGAGAAGCCATGGTTCAATGCCCTACTGGGGCTCTACGGCCCGACGAAGATGCGTCTCAGGAAGAAGGGGTGAATGCCTTCATGCTCCTCTTGCATGCAACCTAGAAGCACATCATGTTAAGGGCGATGGGAGAGGCATGTTGGAGGTGAGAAGTGTTTCTAATCAACCTGTTGTCACCATCTTTCTCTCACTCTCTTTCATTTATAAGTATTTGCCGTTCATTATCTATCAAAGTAATAAGGGGTTTTGCAAGTTCTTCATACAAGTACATGTACATAGATTTGTATGGTATTTTCCACATCAAAAAATCTGAATTCAAATTATGAAAAAAAAATCACTGGCAAAATATTTAAATTGTAATTAATTTGAAACATTCACTATTTCATTCAAAAAAATAAAAGGTTCTACTTGTCATATACTTTTATTTATGCTTTTT